TTGTGGCTCAAAGAAGCTCTTGCTTTCCTCTCTTTATTACAATGGTTCCCAACCTGTGGTCCGTGAAACACCAGTGGTCTACAAGAACTAAAATATGGTCCGCAGCCTCAATGTTACTACACCGTTGCAACAAGAGTGACTGGTGTTTTGAAACCCTCTTATAGTGTCAAGGCTTATTTTCTGTGGGCAAGGAGATGGCATATGTTCTGTATCAGAAACTAGAGCTGATGTAGTCTATCGCATGCAATTTTCTGAATCAGCACCCCAAATAACAAAGCCAAATCTAAAGTTGACCAAAAACTGATTCATAACCCTTTTGGTATTAATGTTGGAGAGTGATCTCTGGTCAAAAAAGGTTGGGAACCACTGCTGTAGTAGAACCAAAGAGCAAAGTTCAGTAACAAGCATTGGAAGTGAGAATGACGTTGAAAAAAGCAGGAAGGTAGTTTTGCTCGGAACCTCAAGAATGATCTGGTTTAGTTCTAACAAGAAGGTTGAATCTGGAAGTTGAATGTTGCACTGCCACTGGAGCTCTTTTCTAACATACAAGTGCATTTGGTGAAGCTAGGGGCCCTTCCATACAGCCATATAACCCAGAATATCAAGACAGATAATCCACAATAACTGCTTTTAACTGGATTATCTGAGTTCACACTGCCTTATAATCCAGTTCAATGTGGATTTTATACAGCTGTGGGGAAGGAGCCTAAGTATACAGTCTCCCATGCCTTTGTGCACACTGGAGTGAACATATTTCTTTATTTTAAAAGTAATTCTTCTCAACAACACATGCTCTTGCAATGTAATGGTGGTATGGATTTGGGTTCTGCCTCTTATTTCTTTCTACACTTTGGTGGCCATATCTGCAGGGGATATAGTCCGAGATTTTGCAAAGATTTTTAATGCTAGGGGTATTAATTTTAATGAGACAAATAACAGAGGTTCTGAGGAAAGGGTACAGCTTGTACAGGGGTCTCTACATGAATAAGTGAAACTGAGGATGAATAAAACAACATACAGTTGGCCCTCCGTATTTACAGGTTTCACTTATTCACAGATTTGATTAATATTTTGTCTCTAGGAATCTCTGGATCCTCCAGCTCAACTCTATGATCAACTTTCATTGGAAGATAAATATAGAGTCATTCTAGGGGATCTAGAAATTCCTAGAGAGAATGCTTCTCTAGACATTTACAGGTCCTTCCACAATAATTCTCTTGTGAGCTACCATAGAGTCATGCTGGAGAACCTCAAAATTCTTAGAGAGGTATTCTCACCAGTTTTTTTAAAAAGTTTCAGGAGGTTTTGTTTTTTCAATTTAATGGGAACCTTGCATCCCTAATCCCAGCTAGTGTGAAGGGATGACTGTATATCAGCTCCGCAAATACAGTAGTCATACTTTATAAAGGTCTATGGCAAAGATTTCCAACTTGTGGGTCACAACTCCTTAGTGCAGTGGTTCTCAACCTATGGACCCCCAGGTGTTTTGGCCTACAACTCCCAGAAATCCCATCCAGTTTAGCAGCTGTTAGGATTTCTGGGAGTTGAAGGCCAAAACATCTCGGGACCCACAGGTTGCCTTAGTGTGCAGTGTGCAGGTGTGTCGTGCGAACATAACAAGTAATCTCTGAGTCTATGTGAAATCAATAAATCATATATATGAAAGATTTTCATGAGATATGTTGTGTCCCTATACATTTTGTTATTACAATTTATATATGTCTCTCTTATAATGGCATGGTTGAACCTCAGGTTTGTTAGTAAAACTGAATTACTGTGTTGTGAAATTATGCATGTCTAGAAAGTGTGTCACCAACATGAAATGTTTGGAAAGCTCTAATCTATAGCAGTGCATTGTCTTAATAAATGGCTTCGGTATGCCTGAAGCTGAAAATGTAGTTTTTTAAAGCTATCATCATCTGATGGACAAGTAGATTGGGGTTTTTTTCCTGGAGAAGTTGTCTGCAGAGTGGAGCTGGCATGGAAACTGCTGGCCTCCATCCTGCCCAATTGATTGACAGCTTCCCCAGGAGTTCTAGTTCCCTAGAGTTTTCAGTTGAGCTTATGCAGTAAGCCAAGCTTCCCAACTGGCTTCCTGGGGGGCTGCTAATGAACACTGACCTTTCAGACCCTCACCCATACCCCTCAAGCTAACTGTGTTCAGGAACAGTTAGAGACTTAATGATCCATTAATCAAAAGAATTATTTTTTCCTTCCAAAAGAAGAAAATTAAGAGACAAGTAATTACGGGTTTGTGTATAAATCTAAAAAAACACCCAGCAACCCTTCTATTTGACAATTTTTATGATGGATTTGTTGAGAAGACAGTAACTTTGGGAAATATTTCCAGGTAGGAAAACCAAAGCTTCCTAATGGGAAAAAAACCTGGCTGCTGTTTTATTAATAAGTTTATTATTTGTATCAACAATTACTGCCCTATTACTTCAGTTCTAAGACACACTTTTTTTCACCATATATGTATCTCCAAACCAACCCCTGATTCATTCAAAAGTATATACCATAAATGTAATTGAAAGCAACACCCATTGTATTTGATAGTGTTCACTAAGTAAACATGCGTAAAAGTCCATTTAATTACCATTTAAAACTAATAAGATGTCATTTATTTCCCTTTTTTCCTGCGTGCGTCATCATCATAATAATTTACGGACACAGGACTGGATGGGAAATGAAGTTTTGTTGTACTTTTTATGTGACATACAGCTTTAAGCAAGGGTTATCTATATGTAGGTTCAAACTGCATTTTTGAAAAAATCTCATACGCACCTATCCGAGGTGGCATGACTACTTATCAGTGGCAATGTTCACTAGCCCTCTGGCAGTAGCATCTCCTAAGAGTGATTTTATTTGGTCTTTAAACTACAGATTTTTTTTTTGTCGTGTCAGGAGTGACTTGAGAAACTGCAAGTCGCTTCTGGTATGAGAGAATTGGGCGTCTGCAAGGACGTTGCCCAGGGGACGCCCGGATGATTTGATGTTTTTATCATCATCCTTGTGGGAGCTTCTCTCATGTCCCCGCATGAGGAGCTGGAGCTGATAGAGGGAGCTCATCTGCCTCTCCCCGGATTTGAACCTACGACCTGTCAGTCTTCAGTCCTGCCGACACAGGGGTTTAACCCACTGCGCCACCGGGAGCTCCTAGAGATGATCTCTCATAATACCATTCCATCACATCCTTTCATCCAACGTTGTGTCTTAGTAATCTGCCAACTGAGACAACCTTCCATGCTTCCACCCATAGAAGATCCTTCAAAGTAAAACTTACTCACTTTTAAGACACTAGTGAATCGAAGGAAGGAAGGAAGGAAGGAAGGAAGGAAGGAAGGAAGGAAGGAAGGAAGGAAGGAAGGAAGGAAGGAAGGAAGACATCACTCACAGTTTTCTGTCAGCATGTGCGTATATGCTTTGGCTCCTGGTGGGTTTTCAAGATATGGTTGGGAACCATTGCATCTTGCAGTGTTTCCATGTTGTTGGGAGGGTTGGGGTGAAAAATCATGTTACAAAATATACCATTTTTTAAAACCTTTAATGTAGTCCTTCATTACACAGCTAACACACCAGTGGGTCTTCTTTCGGGTCCCTTCCACACTATATTCCATGATCTCATCCCAGATTATCTGTTTATCCCAGGTTATCTGGCAGTGAGGACTCATATAATCCTGTTTAAAGCAGATCATCTGGAGTCAGATCCTGGGATATAGGGCAGTGTAAAAGAGGCCTATATCCTGTGATATAGGGCAGTGTGAAAGGGGCCCGCGGTGGCGCAGTGGGTTAAAGTGCTGAGCTGCTGAGCTTGTTAACCAAAAGGTTGCAGGTTCGATTCCGGGGAGTGGCGTGAGCTTCCACTGTCAACCCTAGTTTCTGCCAACCTAGCAGTTTGAAAACATACAAATGTGAGTAAATCAATAGGTACCGCTCGGGCGGGAAGGTAACGGCACTGCATGCAGTCATGCCAGCCACATGACCTTGGAGGTGTCTATGGACAATGCTGGCTCTTCGGCTTAGAAATGGAGATGAGCACCACACCCCAGTGTTAGACATGACTGGACATAATGTCAGGGGACAACCTTTACCTTTACTTTACCTTAAAAGAGGCCTCAGTGAGCCACTCACTGGAGACTTTAGTGGAGGCGTTTGGGGTCTTCAGAGACCACACTTTGGAGCCCATGGGCCACACTCTTCCCACTCCCGGTGTGCAGCACTAGAACATTGCAGTTCTTGGTCTTGGTTTTATCTTCTGACTTCTTTTTATAGGAAGGGGAACATGAGGTGGGTTTATTTTGTTTCATGTCCTGTTCATGAACTGGCAAAATCAAAGAGATTCTCTTGAATTCAGAAGCATGTAGTTCCATTTGTAACAAACAATAAAAAGTAGATTTAATGTGTAATTTAATTCAATTTGTAATTGACCCTCAATTTGATAGATGTTGTAGGTTCTTTTCCTTCTTATTTTGTAGAATATATTATAATAAAAGGGTAGAGACATGCTGTAAAGGATTACAGATGTTCATGATGGTTTTGGGTTTTTTTCCTTTTGAGGATACATTATTTCCTTTCTATTATTCACCGGTGCTTATTCCCAAATAAATATGTCATGGTGACAGAAGCAAATATTACTTAATTCTGCAGCTTGAGTGCCATCATTTTAATGAATTTAAAATGCAAAAGTATACATGCTCAGACTGTATCCTTTTAAAGAAAAAAAATCAGTATTGGGCTCCCCCACTTTTCTCTCTCTAATATCAGTGACACAGATACAATTGTTCAACACAGACTGGCATGGCTGGTGGTGAGGGAGAAGGTATGCTCAGTTGGGAACGGGAGTTTGGGAACTGTAGACTAGAAATAAACTTGTAAATTCTGCAAAGGCTTTTATCTGAAGGCCCCAAGAAGGATATCAACAGTAGGTGCTGATTTCATTGCATTTACTTATTCCAGAACTAATCCTCATTTTCTCTCTCTCCTACAACTCTCTCCAGGGTTCTGCTGAATCTTATACCAGTCGTCCATCTGACTCTGATGTGTCCCTGGAGGAAGACCGGGAGGCCCTACGCAAGGAAGCAGAGCGCCAGGCCTTGGCACAGCTGGAGAAAGCGAAGGTATATTTATTTATTTGTTTGTTTGTTTATTTATTTATTTATTTAAAACATTTATATTCCTCCCTTCTCACCCCGCAGGGGACTCAGGGCAGAGCACAACATAAATATGGCAAACATTCAATGCTGGGACATAAAACCATAAATATATACAAACATTAAAATCACTTATATTCACATTAAAAGTTGCTTAAAACCATCTCAGGACACCATTTTGCCTCATTGCACTGCCCCAAAGGCTTGGTCCCACAGCCAGGTCTTCACCATCCTTCTGAAGGACAGGAAGGAGGGGGCTGATCTAATATTGCCGGGAAGGGAGTTCCATAACTGGGGGCAATCACTGAGAAGGCCATGTCTCTCATCCCTGCCAAACATGACTGTGATGGTGGTGGGACCGAGAGCAGTGCCTCCCCAGAAGATATTATTCGTTTCTGCGTGGTTCGTAAAGGGAGATGCATTCAGACAGGTAAACTGGGTCGGGGCCAAATACTTGCTGGGGATTTATGCGGGTCTGGATCCAGCATCACTGGCAGGCACTAGGTTGTGAAAGCCCATCCTGAGAAGTTGCTGGGAAGGTTCAAGAACGCCATATGCCATTGGGGAAAAGAACATTTGTCTTGACTAGCTTCAGAAGTTGGGAGCAAAGTAAATTCCCAATTGGATCTCTCCAATAGGATTCTACAGCCAGAAAGATAACCTTTCAGGCTTTAGGGTGGTGTCGCAGAGGTTTCTACCTTACTCCAAAAACAAGATAGATACAAGGCATGTCCTGTTCTAGGTAAGCAAAGAATTCCTTGTTTGCCTTAGTTGAAGAAGCCAAAACAATTTTCTGGTTCACTGATATGTATTGGCCCATCCCAGGAAAGGATTTTAGCAAGTGTGGAGCTATGGCATTTCACATTTGTATTTTATTTATTTATATCCTGTATTGCCCCCTCAAACACATATTCTATCCTCTCCTTCCTTCCCTCGACTTCTAGCACTGAAGAGAATGATCTTGAGGTCAGGACTACTATTATTATTATTACTATTATTATTATTATTAATTCCCCACTTTTTCTGTCCTGAAGAAGACTCAAAGCGGCTTCACATAAAAACATTAGCATACAACCTGAGCCATTCAGTTTTAACTTACTTCATTTATTATTAGCAGAAAGATTGCAGGATTCCGAAAATGAAAGGAGTAGGACCACTTTGCAACCTTAGACAAGTCACACACTCTCCATCTCTGAGACTGAGGGAGTATGACTTGCCCAAAGCCCCCCAGAAGGTTTCTGTGCCAGAGTGGAGATTTGTACATTGATCTGCTTGAGTCTATCAACATTCAAACCACAACATTACACTGGTCCTTTAAAAAAGTGTGGTAATCGTGTGAATTTCTGAGCAATTATAGTTTCTTTGGATCCCCTTGAATATTGTCAGAGTTGGAGGTGCGCAGCAGAAGGATTGCTAGATCAGCAGACACTGTGTTGTACAATAAGTTACAAAAGAAACTAAGTTTTACTAAGCACATACAAAAGACACGTCTTACTACAGCGAGCTACAATCAGGAACTAGTCAAAATGAAAGTCTCTTCACATCTGCTTATCTCTCTCCTCTCTAGCTGAGACTAGCTACTGCCTTCTGTTCCCAGCCAGAGCAAACATTATCTCACTTCTCTCAAGGTTACATAATCACAGCCTCATTGAATAAACATTCTGCACAGCATTTCTAATACACAGTAGAATCCATCTTGGAAATACATAGAAGCACATTTAAAACACATATATATCTAAATTAATCCTGACAAATATTTATTTGTGCTGTGAAGTAACACAAACAAATGTCCAAAGAGATCCAATGAAGACAAAGGTCTCAACTCTCCCCATGGGAGAGATAGTGCCAGCTAACACTCTGTCTTTTGTACAAACTCTATTTCTGTGGTTTCCAGTGACTGCCATGTCAGTGAAGTGGTGAATCTCCTGTAAGGTGTAGTCTATCCAAGGTGCTATCCAAGATCCTGAAGCTGTTTTGTGTATAAAATTTGGCACATTGGATGGCTAAGTTGAACTTTAGACCAAAACAACAGTAAATTCTCCGTCCCATTGCCTTCAGAACTGCCATAGACTTTTGATTATGTCTGCTGGACTGGTTGCATTACTTCAACCATCTCTCTAAGGGTTCTTTTCCTTATTTTGGTGGCTCCCAAACATTTGTCCTCCTATTTTGGACTCCCAGAAACCATAGCCACCAGGCAAACAATACAGAATTCTGAAAACTTTAGTGAAAAACATCTGCCAAAGTCAGGGAACCACTGCAGTGTTGCTTCCTTTTCAAAGGGGGAGATCACCGTCTCTTTGCCCTTCTTGGTTACCCAGGTATGGGTTTCACCATTACTGCTATGTGTGTGACCATCAGATCACAATTATCCCTCCACATTTAATCTCACCATACCAGTCCACAACTCGAACATCCACAACTTTCTAGCCATGGACAGTTGACTGTAGTAGAGATGAACAAGATTGGTCTAGGAGCCAGCTAGAGATATTGAAGGAAATCTCTAAATGCCTAGAAATACTTGGATTTCACTCTGGGAAGAACATGTTTACTGGGAGAGAGCAAACAGACTTAAGGGTTTGATTGAGACAGGCACTCCCATGCTTTTATATCTCCTTGGTCATTTTATAATAATCCTTTGTCATTTACCACGGTTACATGACTCAGTGCTTGATACTCATGTTTCCTTTTAATGAAAATATTCCTCTCTTATCCAATCAGCTGTACTTTCCACTATCATTTCTTCCATGAAACCCACTTATCACAACATCTTCAGTACAACATATCTTCACCAGCATTACTGATAACTTCATCAGGATCAGTTTCTTAGTGCTGATAACATCTTCGGCTCCATCAGTCCTGATGCACCCACTATGAACTACGTCATCATTCTACATTTATTACCATTTGACTCCTACTCAAAGTTCAACCACATACTGAGTAGCGTGGGTTGTCATTTGGACAGTGAGAGTGCAAGCTCACACTGTTAGATTTCAAATCCACTTATCTGGATCCGAGTGACAAATATGAGAAGAAGAAGAAACACAGGGAATTTGGATCTGGAGTTTTTGTAATTTGTTTTCCTCTGCCCGCAAACAGACTACTGTCAATAGCAACTATCAAGCTGTTGGGAAGAATTTGGAGGAGAATTAGAGCTCCACACTTATAACTTGAAGCCTGATCTGGTTTTATCTCCTTGCTTGCAAATAAATCAGGGTACCTTTAAGGTGCAAGCTGTGCATTTAATATAGCATGTAGTTTAGACCCCAGACAAGGTCCTCCTGTATTTTGTTACGCTAAACCTCTGATGCTTAATTCTAATTGGCATTCTCTTTCGACAGCCTCTATTAGTCTCTGTTGTAATTCCTGCTGAGCATGCAGTACAAATGTAATGATAAAGGAATAACTAAGCATTTAGGATGCCTTAAATGTTAATGATACTTTGAGTATCTTCCTTCAGAGTAAATCACCATACCTAGTGGCAGCTCTGAAAAAAGGTCAACAGACTTGAAAATCAATAAACCTCTCAGATACAAAAAACAAATGAAAAATTCTGAGCAATTCAAATGAGTGAAAATCTTGCATCTACTATAGACAAAAAGAGATTTCAGTTTGTGTTTTCTATCTGAAATATGATTGTGCCTTAGCAAGACATCTACCAAAAAAATTAATTTTGGAAAGTCCCCCACGCGCACTCCTCAACCTCCCTGTACTGGCTGCTTTTTGGGTTCCTTCAGATCTTCCAGATCTATACAGTCAGTGACCTTGCTGCTGTTGTTATGTGTCCTGACATTGACTCTGACTTATGGCATAGTAGGAACATAGGCTTTCCTGGCAAGATTTAATTCAGAGGAACTTCGCCATTGCTGCCTCCTTAAATTGGGAGACTATGATTTGCCTAAAGAGTAGTGTTCTCTCACTTATCATGGATGTTACGTTGCAGGACCACCTGTGAAAAGTGAACATCCACGAAGTAGGGACGCCATGTTTCTTTTAATATTTATACATTATTTTAGTAGTTATACATTATTTTAAGTCTTTATAAACCCTCCCTACACATGTATACACTACATAACCCTGGAGCCCCTGGTAGCGCAATGCGTTAAAGTGCTGAGCTGCTGAGCTAGTTGACCAAAAGGTTGCAGGTTCGATTCCGGGGAGCGGCATGGGCTTCCGCTGTCAGCCCTAGCTTCTGCCAACCTAGCAGTTCGAAAACATGCAAATGTGAGTAGATCTATAGGTATCGCTCTGGTGGGAAGGTAATGGCGCTCCATGCAGTCATGCCGGCCACATGACCCTGGAGGTGTCTATGAACAACGCTGACTCTTCGGCTTAGAAATTGAGATGAGCACCACACTGGGCTTAATGTCAGAGGACAACCTTTACCTAACCCTTTTTGAACATGTTGTTCGCATAATCCTCAATTCTGGCTTTATCCACAGAGGCAGCCTCTCCATACAGACAAACGCTCTTAAGTTCATATTGAAAAACCACAAAACAGCTAGTCTGCAAAAAGCGAACCACAAAGTAGCAACGGACCACTGTATTCCAAAGCTGAACAAGGATTTGAACCTTTGTCTCTGGAGCCCTAATACAACACTCAAAGCACTATATCATGCTGGTTCTCTCAATATAGAACCTATACTTCCTGTAAAGATTTCATTCCATTCTAATTGTAGTTTGCCCTCATTTAGGATAGATCTCGTTTAATTAACAGGGTATCTCATGGTCCCATCCCAGCCTGAGATCCACTTCCACAGAAATTGCCACAAAGCTTGTGTCTTATGTTTTGTTTTTGCAACTGACTTTGGCTCACAAATGTCTACAAATTCTTAGCTGGCCAGACACCAGCGAATTAATTTGGCTAATGGCATGGTAACACTTTATCAATGCAGGAGGCTGAGAAATGAAAAGAAGGCTTCAGTTCTTTATTATGTGAACTGATCCATCAAGCACTCCTGCAAAAGCTAAGGACTGTGCTCTGGCTTGGCAAGCCTCAAACCTTTTATATAGTGTATATAGCTATGTACCTTGCCGGTATCTGGTTAATTCTGTTTTCCTCAGTGTGGGATGCTTTTGGGTACACAAGCTACAGCTCTCTGGAGGACTGTGGGAGCTTCTGTCCAATAGTCCAAAAAATAACATTTTCAAATTCAGCAGAGACCTTAGTTCATGCCCTACTCAACAAACCTTCCTGCCTTCTGTGGAGCAACAGGCCATTATTTGGCAGCAGCCCTTAAATTATAAACAGATGCAATTAGCTAATTAAGTCTCCTGGTTCCTTTTCCCTGTCAGCCTTCCTGCTCTTCCTGGCTCTCGGTGAAGTCAACTGGTCTGTTGCCACAGCAGTCTCTCAAATTAAGATGCCCAGGACGTTTTGGTCACTGGGATCCAGTCCAGTCTCCTTGCTGCCAGTGGTGGGGAGTGGTTGGCACCTAGACCAGCCCTAGCTCTCGGGGCTTTGAGCCAGCAAGTTCCATCCTTTGCCTTGCTCAGCGGCTTTTGTAGATATCTGTTGACTGCCATCTCAGGTTAACTGTGGGGCCTGATGGGGAGGGCAGTCTGAGACCTCCCTGATTCAGGTGGGATTTGAGCCAGGAATTACTGAGTTCTTTTCTTACCTACTTCTCCTTGATAGTCTGCCAAGCAACCTGAACAGCAGTGGTTGAAATCAGCCATTTAAAAAGAACACCAACTAATAATAATAATGATGATAATAATAATAATAATAATAATAATAATAATAATAATAATAATAATTCTTGCAAGAGCAAGCTATCAGAACAAATGCAATTAAGGCCAGGATTGAAAAATCAGCTGATGACCCGAAATGCAGGCTGTGCACGGAAGCTGATGAAATCATGGATCATATCCTCAGCTGTTGCAAGAAAATCACACAGACGTACTACAAACAAAGGCACAACTCTGGGGCCCAAATGATTCACTGGAACTTATGTCACAAATACCACCTACTAGCAGTAAAGAATTGGTAGGGGCATAAACCTGCAAAGGTAGTGGAAAATGAACACACAAAAATTCTGTGGGACTTTCGAATCCAGACTGACAAAGTTTTGGAACACAATACACCAGACATCATGATTGTGGAAAAGAAAAAGGTTTGGATTATTATGTCACCATACCAGGTGACAGTTGCATTGAGGAAAAGCAACAGGGAAAACTCGGCCATTATCAGGACCTCAAAATCGAACTGCAAAGGCTCTGGCACAAACCAGTACAGGTGGTCCCAGTGGTCATTGGCACACTGGGTGCTGTGCCAAAAGATCTCAGCCAGCATTTGGAAACAATAAACATTGACAAAATCATGATCTGTCAACTACAAAAAGCCACCTTAATTGGATCTGCGCTCATCATTCGAAAATACATCACACAGTCCTAGATGCTTGGGAAGTGTTCGACTTGTAATTTTGTAATACGAAATCCAGCATATAGATCTCTTTTGCTGTGACATACTGTGTTTTTGTGTCAGTAAAATAATAATAATAATAATAATAATAATAATAATAATAATAATAATAATAAACTTTATTTTAACCCCCATCATCTCCCCAAGGGGACTCGGGGCGGTTTACATAAGGCCAGGCCCAGGAATTACAACAATGCAAATATACAACATAAAATACAACAATATAATATAATAAAAATAAAATTCAAAAAACAAAACAAAATAAACACACAGTGTAATATAAAATCACAGTAATTGAACAGAGTGGGTGAAATGAGCAATGTAGAGTATCTGGGAGGAGGATCAGATGCTCATTTCCATGAACTGTATCCATACTGCAGAATAACAGCAGTTTGATACCATATTAACTTCCGTGTCTCAATGCTGTGAAGTTCTGAGATTTGAGATACAGGTATTTACTCTTTTCTGCCAGAGGCCTTTGGTGTCACAACAAACTAAAAATTTCAGGATTCCATAGGCAGTTAAAATGGTGTCAGGCTACTAGAAATCTGGAGTGTGGATAGCCTCACCACAATTCTGGATATTTTACTCTTTGGAGTAATTTGTCCTGTGGAAGGTTTAAATCTTATATAGAATACTGAAGCAGTACCGCCAAATCCCTGCACATTTAATTCAGTCCTGGAACATGGAAATGTTCTTTCTTTCTTTTCACTTTTTTCCCTAGACCAAAACTCCCAGAAAGCCATGAAAGTGGACATGCTGACTGGGAGGCTCAAAGAGTTGTGTCCTTAAAAAAAAAAACTTTTCCAGGCTCTTGATGGAGCTCCGGGTTCAGAAATATAGTCCATCAGCAAGATCAGACGTTCTGATCTTGCTGATGGACTATATTTCTGAACCTCAGGGAATGCATTTTAGCTTAAGGAACACATATCAGTCAGCATGGTGCACATATTGTAAGTCATAACAGGATCGTGTGTGTGTGTGTGTGTGTGTGTGTGTGTTAAAGAAAACCTTATACTATTCATTATTATGTGCAGCTGCTAATGTAGATCAACTAGTATGTTTGGACCACACCCGGTGGGGGATAACTGTATGGATTTTAGAATACAGTTCAGCCTTTGCTCAGGCTTTTTACTCAACCATTTGTAGTGCTCTGTCATTTGGAGGAAATTGAAGAAGGCTTATTCTGTATTGCTTACAAGGACTATGTAAGTTTGTTGCATTGTTTGTTTTGTTTGCAACACTGCAACTTTATGTTTTAACGCTGCTGATAAGAGTAAAGTTTTTGTCTGTTCATTTTCCTCTTGGCTGTGTGCAATGTTATTGTGTCTTCTGCATTGGACCTGACTGAAACCCACTTGAGCGCAACACATATCTCATATGAAAACTAGGCTACATGTGGCCAAGAAACACCACAGATTGTACTAAAATTATTAAGGAAGGGGATCACACAAGCTAGGAGAGGATACAGCAATTTGGTTTCCTCAAAATTTGATGGGAAAGACAAATCTATCCTCTTCTCCTGTTTCCTGCATTAATGAAATGCAGACTACTTTTGAACCTAGTTTGAAGCAGCTGAAATAAGCTGAGTTCAAAACAGACAGTGGGAAAAGGATGGAGAAATTGGGACATTTTATAAGCAGTTGAAAAGTGGACCAACTAAGGATTAATTGAGAATGTGCCTGTGAAATCAGGACAAGTGGAGTCAGGCAACATCTCACCACCCACCACAACTGCTTCTTTTAACAGACATTTCACTCTGCTTCATGGTAGTGCCTGCCCTGCCCATCTATTTGGAGAGGTATTTTCATAGTCACAAGGTCTCTAAGGATCATATTTGTTTGTTCCCCTGTTTCTGCTTGGCTTACTGATTATCTTTTATAACTAAATATTATATCCCTGATCTGTGGGACCAGTATCCATGGTTTCAGTACTCATGAGGTTGTTCTGCATCATGTTTTTGTTACTGTTGAGATTATGCACATTTTTTCATTGTTGTTTAAAAATAGATTCTGGTAATGATATGGAAGTAATTTAGTATTTAAACTCACTCGTGTTTCTCTCATCTTAACAAAGGCTCATGTGTATTTTGCAGACCAAGCCAGTGGCATTTGCAGTGAGGACAAATGTGGGTTATAATCCTTCTCCCAATGATGATGTACCAGTCCAAGGCATGTCTATTTCCTTTGAACCCAAAGATTTCCTTCATATCAAAGAGGTAAGTGCAGGAGATGGGTTCATCTTCACCATTACTATCATCTTGGTTAGCTCATGTACCCACAGTACTCAACAAACACATGCAACAGCCTTCATAGAATAATATAATCCAATGGCTATCTCTTCATATTCTTCCCTCTTTGTATACTTTTTTATGTCACATTTTTCTGATGATGGTCATCTCTGTTCCAGAAATACAACAATGATTGGTGGATTGGGCGCCTGGTCAAAGAAGGCTGTGAAGTTGGCTTTATCCCCAGTCCTGTCAAGTTGGAAAACATGAGGATGCTCCAGGAACAAAAGATGCGGCAGCACCGGCTTAGTTCTAGGTGGGTCTGGTGCTAAAGGAGGAGAGGGCTTGGAATGAGAAGGGGCTATATTGCCGAAAATCTTCTGTACCTTATGGCTGGTTGCCATAGCTCAATTGAAGTGTATATGGTCTACACACAGAAAGCACTAAACACAGTCCTTGGTGTCTTCACCAAAAACACAGTTGGGGACCCTATGGTACTTGAGTTTTGGAACAGCTGCTCCCATGATCCTTGAGTGCTGGCTATGCTAGTAGAGAATGATGGAAGTTTGAGGCCTGCAATAGCTAAAAGGTTCTGGCTCTTGAACAGAGACTGTAAGATAGCAGAACAGGAGAAGTAATCTTCCTGAGAAACTTGAGAGCTGTTGTGAACAACTTGGAACATGTGGATGGGGAGGTGATGGTGGAAGAAGCAGCGGTTGAGCTGGACTCCAATAATAATAATAATAATAATAATAATAATAATAATAATAATAATAATAATAATAGGTTCTTGTGGGTTTTTTCGGGCTATAGAGCCATGTTCTAGAGGCATTTGCTCTAAACCCACAAGAACCTAGTGATTCCAGCCATGAAAGCCTTCGACAATACAATAATAATAATAATAATAACAACAACAACAACAACAACAACAACAACAACAACAACAATAACATAGAATCATAGAATCATAGAGTTGAAAGAGATTTCATGGGCCATCCAGTCTAACCCCCTGCCAAGAAGCAGGAATATTGCATTCAAAGCACCCCTGACAGATGGCCATCCAGCCTCTGTTTAAAAGCTTCCAAAGAAGGAGCCTCCACCACACTCCGGGCAGAGAGTTCCACTGCTGAAGCTCTCACAGTCAGGAAGTTCTTCCTAATGTTCAGATGGAATCTCCTAATAATAATAATAATAATAATAACAACAACAACTGTATTCTGCCTTTCTCCCACAAAGAGACCCAAAGTCCAACAGTGCCCAGCAGCTCCCTCGGTCAAGCTTTCAAGCAGTACCCATGGAAGAAGCTATTACTTATCAAGGTCCTTCTACACAGGCTGAAATCCTGAGAAGAACCAGCATTTTAAATGCTGGTTTCTCTCAGAATTGCAGCCAGACTATTCATAGATTCCACAGACCCCATACTAGGCATTTTTTAACCCACAGTAAACCTGGAAATCCAGATTTACTCCAAGTTAAACCAGATTATCTTGAGGTATGATTTGGACACCTCAGGCTTATCTGGAAGTAATCATGCACATTAGGTCTGTGTAGCTGGGGTCTCAGTCTGCAGAATAAGTGTGAGTACCTCTGAGCAGGCTAAGGAAGAGTGAACTGTTTCAGCTTTCATGGAACTGCAAAGAGAGAGGTCTTAGCTGCACAGGTCCTGGAGATTAGCTGAGAAAAGAGCCAGCAACAGATAACACCTATATATTTGAGATTAAAAGAGTTTAGGGATGGCACCTTGTTACTGGCTGCAACGTCAGTTCTAGAAGCTACAACCTTGGACTCTTGCAATCTTGTGTTCCTGGACCCTGAACTCACCTTGGACCTCAGTTTATGGATTCTGATTCAACCTTGTATTCTGGACACTCTGGTAATTGGCTTATAACCCTGGAACAGACATTTGGCTTCCCTATAATGTTATCGTGTTAATGTTTGCACCTCTGTTGGACTATCAGCTTGACCTTAGACTCTGCTAGTACTTGAAATTGAGGCTTCTGACAAGAGCAATTTCTTCAACATGGTTCTAGGTTCTTCAGAGCGATTCTGTGGTCATATGCCACAGATGGTGACCATAGAGTGATCCTGGAGAATTTAGGGATACCTAGAGATGTGTTTCCTCGGTTAAAAAAATCTTCTTTAAAAACTTCAAATCTTTTTCACTTTTATGGGGTCCTGCACCCCTAATCCTCTGGAGGGCCTACTGCAATTCAATTCAGTGGTTCCTTTTTCTAGTCTTCCTTCATAATTTCCTTATCATACCCTCATGAACCTATTACCAGGATTTTTGTGACAGAGTCCTTGGCATTTGAACTGTTTTGAAACTGGTTCCTAAGTCACTTCTGTTTGTATTGCAGATATGCTGAATATTTCTTTGAAAAAAATGTAGCATAAAAATCTGAAGAATTCTCTTTGGAAAATTAATCACACTGGGACTAGACCAGTATGATATGTTTTATGTGTACTGATTTGTTGGAAATTGCCTTGAGTTGCCTATTAAGGCTGAGAAAGGCGGTATACAAATACAGTAAATAAATAAATAAATAATAAATACGATATAGCAATACTGGGAGGATCTGAATGTTGGTGAAGGTCAGTTGTAGTAAGGACCATATGAATCGGATTTTGGAAAATATATTTTTGAGACTACAGTTTCCAGACTCCTTTTGCCAGGATATCCCCCACAAAACAACTTTTCAGAATTCTGCATAGAATCTCTCTTGGTGAAGAAGACATAAGCCCTGCCTACACTGATAATTTAATGCAGTTTGAAGCTAGCTTCCAACTTTGACACCAGACAACAAACTCTCACAAAAGCATGTGAAAGAAAGCCCTTAATGTGCATTAACACTCCGTGGTTTGTGTAATCTCTAATCCAGACCTCAAGATGGTTCCAGGATTTTCTATGTAATTATCTGCACAGCTAAACCACTTTCTTCAATTCCGGTTTGAAACTGCATTAAATGATCAGTGTACATGGGGCTTTTCTTTCACATTTTGGCTGGGGTTAGTGCCTGTTCCACAGTCTAGAAATACTTCCTAATCTTTGACTTTAATGACTTTTATCTGTATGCTTGTCCACTATGCCCTGCCCCATGTACAGAGGAAGAATTGTTGGAGGCTACAGATAAGGCCATTGCTGTTGCCCGATTTTGGTCAAAAGATATTTTGCCACCTGCACGCCTGTTTTTATCGGTTTTATAAATTATACTAATTTATGCAATTTATTTTGATACAAAATTAAAAAAAACTTTAATTACTCTTTCCTTTTGCAGTAAATCAGGAGACAATTCCACCTCCAGCCTGGGAGATGTGGTGACAGGCCCCCGAAGACCTACCCCACCTGCTAGTGGTAAGGCTACTTCTACCCAACGGAAAATGGCATACCTGCCACCATTTCCACCCTCTTTGTGGAATGAGGAGATCTTGAAGCATCAAAAGGACATGGCTCACTTTGCATCTTTGTGGCCAAAGAAATGGAAACATCACAATAAGGGAACCCAGTCTTGAGTAAAATGCATCAAGGTAGATTGTAGATGAGGAAGTGTGTGCTCCATATCTGAGTAGTCACCAAGTTTTAAAAGGAAAGTGGAAAACCTTCCACCAAGTAAAAACAAAAGCACATATCAAGGAAACAGATTGTAGCCCTGCCAATTTCTTATTGTTGTTGTTGTTGTTGTTCTTTAACATTTACAGAGATGTTTGAGTTCGGTTTTTAACACAGGGAATATTCAAACATGTCAGTCCCACATCTACCCTTTGAAAAGGTGGAATTTTGTCTGCCATTTCCCCCAGCCAAAGTCCAATTCAATAGCCAGATTTTCCAAACAGCTCTATGGCAGATATCATATTGTCATATTCTCTCTCTCATACATGTGCCACATACTGTGGAATTTTTGTAACAGTTCCTTTTGGGGACTACAGTTCTCAGAATCCACCAAGCGATTCTTAGCATTTTGATAGAAAAATAAAACCCACCCCAATGGAATTTCTGTTTTTATTATTATTATTTTAGTTCTGATTTCATTCTGCAAATCATTTTGAGTTTTCTTCCTTTTCTGGTGATATCTTTTCATTTGTTTTTCTTCTCCTTTTCAGTTTGTACTTTATCTTTTTAGTTGTTTTCTTTTATTTTCTCTCCTCCCCCCCCCCCTCCATCTTTTATTTCCTTCTCTTCCCTTCCCCTCTCCTCCCAGGTAACCTGGAGATGACTAACTTAGCTTATGACCCAGATGCCCTTGAATTAGAGGAGGAGGAGGAGGAGGCAGCAACTGAAGAGAGCCAGCGAACCCCTAAGTCTAGTGTTAGCAGTGTCACCACGCCCCCCTCCACCACCAAGCGCATCCCCTTCTTTAAGAAGGTAAAAGTGCTGCCTCACTCACTCACTCACTCACTCACACTCGCTTGCTGTTGAACTCAAATTATGCCTGCTATATGTGGGTCTTTTCTGCCTGGAGATCAAGCGCTTGCGTGTTTTGGGACAGAGGTGATGGGAGAGGCATGTTCTAAGAGTATATTTGGCCACCAATCGCTTCTTGACAGAGTTGCACTCAGAGCACCTACCATAGGATGTTACATTGTAGTGTCCTCCTAAAGACAATGGGCATCTTGCTAGAAACAGACCAGCTTGAGCCGACTCTTGATGAAGAGGGAAGAATAAAGATGTTATCTACATTGCGTTCGTTGTGCATGGAAGCATACAAGGCACAAGAATGGTATGTTCCAGTGATCGCACATTCTTCATATGTTTATGCATTTGAAGATGCCTTGATAATGGTAAATAAACCATTCACAGTCTCGTGTAAACCTTGGTGGAATATTTTTGAGTCCTCTTCCCTGCCCTTCCTTTGGGAATGCAAAGATCAAATGGTTCCTTCCATGGAAAGGCCAAGAATGAAGTGTTTCCAATGGTCCTGATCTTTCTCTCATCCCTTCCACCAGGTACAAACCTCTGAAAGTCAACAGGTTCCAATCATGTTCTTGATTGAAACTGTGCAAGTGGTATGTTTCATTCATTCTCCTGCTGTATGAGAACTAGCCATGATAGGAGTTCTCCACTATATGAATTACAGCATGGCAACCAAGTGAATGAAACAGTCAAATGATACCCTTTCTCCAGATATGGGTCTGGACATATTGTTGGGAAAGGTTATCATTTAATTGTAATCACAGTCTTCCTATTATAAGCACAAATATGGGATCTTCTACAGCAGCAGTTCTCAACCTTCCTAATGCCAAGACCCCTTAGTACAGGTCCTCCTGTTGTGGTGACCCCCAACCATAACATTATTTTCGCTGCTACCTCATGACTGTAATTTTGCTCCTGTTATGAATCGCAATGTAAATATCTGATATGCCAGATGTATCTTTATTCACTGGACCAAATTTGGCACAAATATCCGATATGCCCACATTTGAATACTGGTGGGATTGGAGGGGGGAGGGGTTGATTTTGTCATTTGGGAGTTGTAGTTGCTGGGATTTATAGTTCACCTACAATCAAAGAGCAATCTGAACTCCACCAATGATGGAATTGAACCAAACTTGGCACACAGAATTCCCATGACCAACAGAAAATACTGGAACTGTTTGGTGGGCATTGAGTTTGGGAGTTGTAGTTCACCTACATCTAGAGAGCACTTAAACAATGATGGATCTGGACCAAAGTTGGCATGAATACTCATTATGCCCAAATGTGAACACTGGTGGAGTTTGGGGAGAATAGATCTTGACATATGGGAGTTGTAGTTGCTGGGGTGTATAGTTCACCTACAATCAAAGAGCATTCTGAATCCCATCAATGAGAGAATTGAACCAAACTTCCCACACAGAACCCCCATGACCAACAGAAAATATTGTGTTTTCCGTTGGTCTTTGGCGACCCCTCTGACACCCCCTCATGACCCTCCTAGGGTCCCAACAACCAGGTTGAAAACCACTGTTCTACAGTCTTTCCCACTCTATTTAAAGGAGACATTCTTAACACTGGCCAACTCTTATCACCAATATTGTATCCAGTGACCCTCTGTAACCCTCCTTTTCTCTTTGGGGACAAGTCAGAAGGGAGAGGGAGGAAATAGTCTGGACATTGGTTGCTGAGTAATCTTAGGATGCTGGAAGGTTAGTATGGAGAGGAATAAACTACATATCTCACTGATAAGTCCAAAAGAAGAAAGGAACTATATCCCATTGATAAGTCCAAAAGAAGAGCGGAAGGATGTCCCTTTCGTTGCCAACTTCTTGTCTCCACAAATTCGTCTTCTATAGGCCCCATCTCTATGTTTACAATGGGCTGGAATACTGGGTGATGCGGAAGGAGACTTCCAAACTCAGGGGCTTGCATAGAGTGTCAGGGGGAATTCCCTTAATCTCCACTGTGACGTTCCACATCTCAAGAACATACCGGAATGGTGAAGATCTGAGTGTCAGGATAAGGATATTGACTATGACTGTCCCAGTAATATGAGATTGGCTTAGTGATTCAGGGTAAATTCTTTTCATCTCCACTATGACGTTCCATATCCCAAGAACATACCGGAATGGTGAATTGTCTCAATGAGTCTGTTTCCTGTGACTGTCCCAGTAATATGATATTGACTTAGTGATTCATAAACGTGGGCTGTCATGAACAGTTAAGTCAATCATGCTGAACCAGCAGAGCATGGAGAAAAGGAGGAGATTTCAAATCCAGTGATTTGGAATTGGAGGTTCTTCCCTTTGAAAAACCCTCTTCCATTTTGGGGAAGGAATTTGTCCCCCTCTGGAAAGCTACCGTTCTTCCACTTCCCTCAGCACTAGTTGTGCTTCCTCCACCCTGTCCCAATCCTATGCCTGCCTGTGCTTCTGCTGGAATGAGCTGTCAGTAACACGCATGCCTTGTTTGTTTTTCTCTTGCCTGTCCCTCTTTCTCCTCTCCCTCTGCGTCCTGGTCCCCTCCCCACCCATTAATGGCAATCACTGGACATAGCCAAACAGAAGCAAAAATCGGTAAGTAGGCTTATGAAATATCAAGATTAAAAGGTGGTGGTTGTCTTGGGGGTCCTCCTTTTTCCAGTTCAGTTAGTGGTCCCAAGAATATGGCCTTGAAACCCCAAAGCTTGAACACTAGTATTTCTCCTTATATTTGCCTCTGTTTCTTTAAAATGCATTCAGCTTTGGCTGTGAAGGTCTAAGGTTTTCCTTCTCTTGTCCGTCCAGCACTCAAGAAATGTCAGAGTTGGATATAAATGGTTCCAAACTTAAGGCTCCCCAAGGAACCCTTACACCTCTGCACCTACCCATCATGATTGCAACATGAAGGTGCTGGTTCACCTTTATTTCAACATTGCAGTTAAATAAAGTGGTTATATATATTTAAAAGTGATGTGGTACCTGCCTACAGCATGGAGGTTGTACTGATCTTGAGGAAACCTAATACCTTCTTATCTTCCCCTTTCCTCTCAGGCTGAACATGTGCCACCCTATGATGTGGTTCCTTCTATGCGACCCATAATTCTTGTAGGCCCATCCTTGAAGGGGTATGAGGTAAGGATCATGGAGAGGGAATGCATGCATAGGGTGGGAAGCAGTGGTGCTGAAGAGATTGGGGTCACTACTGAGAAGACCCTGTCTCTTGTCCCCATCAACCACATTTGCAATAGTGGTGGGATTGAGAGCAGGGCCTCTCCTGAAGATCTTAAACTTTGTGATGGTTCGTGGCAGGAGATACGTTCGGACAGGTAGTTTGGGCCAGAATCGTTTAGGGCTTTAAAACCAGCACTTTGAATTGTGCTTGGAAGCTGATCAGTAGCCAGTGGAGTTGGTGTAACAAAGGAATTGTATGTTCCCTGTATGTCGCTTCGGTGAGCAACTTGGCTGCCGACCGTTGGACTACTTGAAGCTTCCGGGCAGTCTTCAAAGGCAGCTCCACGTAGAGTGCATTGCAGTAGTCTATTTGGGATGTAACAAGAGCGTGGAGCACCATGGCCAAGTCAGACTTCTCAAGGAAGTCTTATGGTCCACCACGCAAGTCCTGTTACAGGTCTGTCCGACAGCTGGATTAAAATCTATCACTTCACCATGAGTCCTCCCAGTGTTTTGAGCCACCTCTCATATGCCATATTCCAAAATAGACTTGCTCTTCTAGCTTTACCTTGATAATAATAATCATAGCCACAAAACTATGGATTCTTCTGCTCTGGAGTATCTGGTTTTAATATTTAGGGGGTGCAAAATAGTGGAAATGTTTGGAGTGTTTAGTAGCTACTGGGACTCTGTGTTTTGTTATTTCTATGGCATATACTTTATTCTGTAAATCCTCCCACTGGGCCCTCATCTCTCTCCCAGAAGCCCGGAATGAGAAATATATTTACATTACATGCTTATAATGTTGGGATTCCACTTTAACTTCCCCAGCTTCATCCTATAAAGTCTGGGATCAAGAGTTTAAGGAGGAACATTCAAAATTCTCAACCAGAGAGAGCTGTAGTGCTTCACCAAACTACAAACCCCCAGGATTCCATAGGATGTACCCATGAGTGCTAAAGTGGAATCAAAGTGTTGTAATTGTGAACCCATAGTATCACAATCCTAGCAAAGGATCCATCCTCAATGTGTTCTCCAGTCTCTAATCAGAAATTACTGCTTTAGTGGAGAACCCACCTCTTTGCTTGCAAAGGAGGAGAAGGAGTTTGAATAAGATCTGATGGAGGAACTTCAGAGGGAGTGGGACTTTATGCATGCCAGTTTAGACCCAAGGACATGACTCAGATATTTAAATAACATCTGTGTGATTTGCTCAGGCATGCTTATGCCTGGTTCACTCCTCACATACATTTGCATTTCTGGTTTGAAACTCATCTAGTCTTAATCCACCAGCATATGTTTGTTCTTATCCTCTTTTTGTCTCAGTCAAATACTAGTCTCCAGATGGATTTCTTCCAGCTATTTTAAACAGGTGACACTAGTACAAAAATAATGTGTGGCATATCTAGCTATCATGTGGTAACGTACATGCCCAAAAATCTTGGTTTCTGTGGATGTGCCCACCAATCTTGTGCATGACCCCTGTGGACCCTAGTCTATAGGGTTCTAGTTTGAGCTCTGCAGAATTTCACACCAATATACATCAGGTCATTGATCTGGTTGTTTTTCACACAGAGAGAGCTTGGGAAAAGGTCACATTCTCCTTTTTAGGGATCACATTGTTCTCCCAGGGACTTAGAAGGCTGTACCCTTCCCCCCACATAGTAAAAGCAATGGTATTTCCCGTAGTCACCTACGGATGTGAGAGCTGGACCATAGGGAAGGCTGAGCAAAGGAAGATAGATGCTTTTGAACTGTGATGCTGGAGGAAAGTTTTGAAAGTGCCTTGGACTGAGAGTAGATCCAACAAGTCCATACTTCAGGAAATAAAGCCTGACTGCTCATTGGCGAGAACTATATTAGAGGCAAAGATAAAGTACTTTGGCCACATAATGAGAAGACAGGAAAGCTTAGGGAAGACAATGATGCTGGGGAAAATGGAAGGAAAAAGGAAGAGGGGCCAACCAAGGGCAAGATGGGTGGATGGAATCCTTGAAGTCACTGGCTTGACCTTGAAGGAGCTGGGGGTGGTGACGGCTGACAGAGAGCTCTGGCGTGGTCCATGAGGTCACAAAGAGTCAGAAGCAACTGAACGACAACAAACACCCCACCACCACCACCACCACCACACACACACTATTTCAAAAAATAATTCCTCCAAGTGCCTGGCCATGCCCAAATTGGATGTTTTGCCATGATTTTGGCCTCACTAGTCACTTCCAGTTCACACACATACACATCCCTGTCTTGCTGGAGAAATAGTATGTGAATTATGTAGTTAGAGTGTCTCAACAAGCTTTTTTTGAGAACTGGTATAAACATTATTTCTTATTTACCTGTGTTTGAGCATGTGACCACATCTGTCTCTTGCACCACACTTATTCCATCCTCTGGATTCTGAAGATCTTTTTCTGCTCTTGCCTGTCTGTCTTCCCCCACTTCCCTTTATTTTCCTAGGTGACGGACATGATGCAGAAAGCTTTGTTTGATTTCCTGAAACGTCGATTCGATGGCAGGTGTGAGCAGATGCCTTGGGTATTGCTGAGGGTCAACCGGGTGATTTTCATTTGTGCAGTAATGATTGCGCCCAGATCCCAAATACAGAGGGGTGTAAGGAAAAACCCTGATCAAAAACAATAGGAGATGGAAAGGCTGAGATGGAATGTCTCCTTCCCTGAATCTCTAAAAATATCCTATATTTCTATTGAATATGTACTACATATCTATTTTAAAGGGAGCCCCCAGTGGCGCAGTGGGTTAAAGCACTGAGCTGCTGAGCTTGTTGATCGAAAGGTCGCAGGTTCGATTCCGGGGAGCGGCGTGAGCTTCCGCTGTCAGCCCTAGCTTCTGCCAACCTAGCAGTTCGAAAACATGCAAATGTGAGTAGATCAATAGGTACCGCTCCGGCGGGAAGGTAACTGCGCTCCATGCAGTCATGCCGGCCACATGACCTTGGAGGTGTCTACGGACAACGCTGGCTCTTCGGCTTAGAAATGGAGATGAGCACCACACCCCAGAGTCAGACATGACTGGACTTAATGTCAGGGGACTACCTTTACCTTTACCTTTATCTATTTTAAAATACAGTAGATACCTGCTGGAGTTTAGTTGTAGGACCACCTATGGATACCAACATCCACAGATGCTCAGATTATATTATATAAAATGGTATCCTTTATATGAAATGGAAAAATAAAGTTTTGCTTTTTGAATTTTTCCTTAATTTTAAGATGTTGATAGTTTAAAAGTAAAGATTGAGATGCTTCAATTTATGTTGATTGAAAGCTGGATTTATTGAGTTTTTAAACCCTCTTTTCCTAGAAACCCATGTGGCTGCTCTTAATTTTAAAAGTGGAAACTGAAAATGTAAGTTTGTGTTATTAGAGACATAGTTTCCTTGCCTGATGTCACATCACAAAGACTTTGGAGTGTCCTAGAGATAGGCTAAGAGTGCTCACCTGGCAAATGCCGCCTCAGATATCCATTCCTCTCTGTCTTCCACAGAATATCCATCACTCGAGTGACAGCTGATATCTCCCTGGCCAAGCGTTCAGTCCTCAATAACCCAAGCAAACACACCATCATTGAACGGTCCAGTACCCGCTCTAGCCTGGGTAAGACTGTGCTGATACACTGAGAGGAAAGCTTGATCCTTTGCCACATTTTCAAGTAATTTATCTCAGAGTCTGTTCCTCAAGGTAACAAGAGGAAGGAAGTGATAATTTTGTCTTTGTAACTGCATGGCACTAATTCCTCACATGCTGGGTGTTTGTTTCTGCCTTTCTTTTTTGCCTATTTTGAACACAAGCATCTGTGGTGGAAATTATCTTGTCCTGTTGTCCCTCCATACTTGTGAATTAAGTATTTGTGGATCTGATTGTTCTTGGATTACTGTATTTCCTACCACCTCTGTGGCTGCCCTATAGGTTAACTCTAGGCATTTCTAAGTCCTCCAGTCTGATTCTGTAGTCAGCTTCTGCAGACATTGACCATAGAATTGTGCCAGAGGACGTAAAAATGCCTAGAGCAGTGTTCTCCCAGGTTAAAAAAGAAAGTGTACCTATGGTCACATACTTTTGTACATGTGTGCATGGGGGATCAGGATACTCCTTAAAGCTTTTCATTTTATTTATTTATTTATTTATTTAACATGTCAGGAGTGAATTGAGGCTACAGTTGTAATGTATAGAAAAACACAAACAAAGTTAAAAACTTGGCATTATACCAAATGTCCTTTGACCAGCAGCTGGCCACTTGGAGTGCCTCTGGTGTTGCTATATGAAGGTTCTCCGTTGTGCATGTGGCAAGGCTCAGACTGCATTGTAATAGGTGGTCTGTGGTTTGCCCTTCTCCATGCTCGTGGACTCCATTTTGTACCCCCATTTCTTAAGGTTGTCTCTGCATCTCGTGGTTTCAAAGCGCAGTCTGTTCAGCACCTTCCAAGTCATCCAGTCTTCTGTGTACCCAGGAAGAAGTTTCTCATTTGGTATCAGCCATGGATTGAGGTTCTGGGTTTGAGCCTGCCACTTTTGGGCTTATTTTATTTATTTATTACGGTTGCTTATACCCCGCCCTTCTCACCCGGGGGGACTCAGGGCGGCTTACACAAACAAGGCACAATTCGATGCCTGTATTATAAAAACATAACATCAAAAACATAACATCAATAACAACAATAATTATAACACTGATAACAATTAACGTAAACAATCAATATTATCGGCAGAAATAGCCATAAACCCGTAAAAACGATTAAAACAATAAAAGCAATACAAACCTCATTGCTTGCTGAGGTGTTCCTGCGAATATCTATGTAGAGCTTAGAAAGCTATTTCTTGATTTAAGGCATTGTTGTGCTGGCTGAAATCTGAACAGGGAATGGGCTGGAGATGTTGCTGCCTTGGTCCTTTCATTATTGGTTGCTACTTCCTAGCAGATGTCAGGTGGTGCAACACAGCTAAACAGTATACCCTATATTCTGGCGTATAAGACTACTTTTTAACCCAAGGAAATCTTCTCAAAAGTCAGGGGTCGTATTATACACAGGAGTCATCTTATACGCGGGAGTAGTCTTATACGTGGGAGTCATCTTATATGCTGGAGTAGCCTTATGCGTAGGAGTCGTCTTATATGCGGGAGTAGTTTTATACGCCGGGAGTCGTCTTATAGAGCGAGTGCTGAAACTTCCAATCCGGATTGGAGAATCTGTGGTTGCCACATATGGTGGGGGGAGCTCAAAAATGGCAGTGGCTGCATCCCTGCCGTATGCAGCAACTGTATGAAAGCATTAAAGGTGACGCTGTACAAGTACAGTAGAAGAAAATCCATTCATCAGGATTCGTGGACTTAATGTGGTCCTGATGGTGAGGTGAAGGGGCGCCTCACCTGGAAGGTGTAAGTGAAGGGCGGAGCAAGCTGAAGGCGTCTGGGCACCAGGGGTATGGAAAAAAGAGATAGAGTGGCTCTGGGCCCAGAAAAACACAACTTTTTTACCTGTCTGGCCTGCCCTTGTATCTTATTACCATACCTCCTCCTCTGCCTCTCAGATCTCGCTCCTGAAGACTGCAGTGAAGCGGTGCAGGTGCGCAGGTGCGAGATCTGAGGCAGAGAAGGAGGTACAGTAATAGAAAAATTACCATATTGAAATCAAATCTGATGCTTTTAAAAATTTTATTTGGTGTGTGTTGGAAGAGGGGTAGTCTTATACAGCAAGTATATCCCAAACTCTATATTTTAACTGGAAAAGTTGGGGGTCGTCTTATATACTCAGTTGTCTTATATGCCGGAATATACGGTAATTGCTCCAGTGGTGTGGGGCGTAGACATCCTGTGATAATGCAGCATGTCTCATTAAGAGCCACATCCACTGTTTTAATGTGGTGATATGTGTTCCATACTGGGCATGCGTATTCAGCAGCAGAGTAGCAAAGTGCAAGGGCAGATGTCTTCACTGTGTCTGGTTGTGATCCCCAGGTTGTGCCAGTCAGCTTTCATTTGGTATTATTTCTAGTGCCCACTTTTTCCTTGGCAGTCAAGCAGTCCTTCTTGTAAGTCAGCGCACGGTCCAGAGTAACTCCCAGGTATTTTGGTGTGTTGCAATGCTCCAGTGGGATTCTCATAAAAACAGTTGAACAAGTTGGTTTTGTCACCTACCTTCTCTGTTTTCATGCCCTCTCCCCTGCATCAAACTTTGTGGGCATCTTTAACTGCTTCTCAAAATGTCCAACTCACTCTTCTCTTTTCTCCCTCCCTTCCCATGATTTTCTTTCCCTTGTGCCTGTGCCTTCGCTTCCTTTCTCTGCTCCTGATACAGATGTCTTGGGTATGTAACCTTAAACCTCTCAAGCTTTCACAAGTTAATAGCACAAAATTAACTTGCTTAACTCCAGGATAGGAAAAAGCTTTTAGCAGAATGAGGCAAATATATATGTACAGGTTTTTTTTCCTTCTGGAGGGAAAATTTCAAAACCAGAACAAATATATACATTTTGGTTTTGACAAAATGTGATAGATTTTTGTTCGTTTTGAATGTTTTCATGGCATTTGAAGGAGTGGAAAATGGCAACTTGCAATTGTCTCATTTTTCACTTGTTTCATCGGCAGAAGCTTAACAGGTGAAAGCAAATCTAGAAAAGAATGTTGTTTGTTTGTTTTCCTTTGAAAGAAAATGGTCGTACCATTTAAGAACAACAACACTTCTTTTCATAATTTTAGTCTCCAGTCCTGGGCCTTCTTTACTTGGCAGCGAGATCAGTCAAACTCACCATGAATTACTTCAGAGTAGACATGACTTGAACCATACTGTGCAAGAAGTTGCTGGGATGTAACATCTTATGTATAGATGTGTCCTATGAAAATTTCAAACACTCCTCAAACAGAGTTGCTGTGAGTTTTCTGGGCTGTATGGCCATGTTCCAGAAGCATTCTCTCTTGACATTTTGCCCACATCTATGGCAGACATCCTCAGGTTGTGAGGCCTGACCTCACAACCTCTGAGGATGCCTGCCATAGATGAGGGCAAAACGTCAGGAGAGAATGCTTCTGGAATATGGCCATACAACCCGGAAAACTCACAGCAATCCAGTAATTCCAGCCCTGAAAGCCTTTGACAACACATTGCTCTTCAAACAATTTCAAATGTATTTGTAGCTGAATACAAAATTAAATATAGAAAACAAACACAAATTAGAGGAGGCTTTTTAATACTAAGATAAATAGCATTTGATTAGAGGGGTAAGACAGATGAAAACAAAAAAAAGGATATGTATATGGAAAAAAATTAAGGTGGTACAACACAATTGAATACTGTTAAGAGATTCAACCAAACACTTTCACCTCCCATTGATTTCAGCAAAGAAGACAGTATTCAATGGGGTATTCACAATGCGCAACAGTGGATGAATTGTGTCCAGATTTGATGTGATAAGTATGCAAATAATTAAACTGGGCAATTCCTTGAATGATTTTAAAGAAGAGGATAACAAAAGGAGAGGCATTTGGTTCTGTCTCCTGAGCAAAATAGTATATATTAGTTTTATTTATTGCATATTTTTTCCATATCAGAAGTGACTTGAGAAACTGCAAGTCCCTTCTGGTGTGAGAGAATTGGCCGTCTGCAATTGGCCGTCTGCAATTGGCGCCCAGGGGACGCCCAGATGTTTTCCCATCCTGTGGGATTCTTCTCTCACATCCCTGCATAGGAATCTGGAGCTGACAGATGGGACTCACCCAGCTCCCCGGATTCAAACTGCTGACCTTTTGGTCAGCAGTCCTGCTGGGGCAAGGGTTTAGCTCATTGCAGCAGCGGGGGCTCCTATAAAATAAATAAAGCACCTAAACAGTATATCTCCACTTTCACCCCATTTTTTCACACATTAATATGGGGTAGAGTTCCCTGTCCTGTACATGAGTCCTATATAACTAACTATGGATCATTTCAATGGGGCTTGCTCTGGAAAATGTCCTGGTGTGTCATATCCTGATCAATCAAAATTTTGCTTTCCTTCATGCTTTTCCTGCTTGACCACTATCAGTAGCAACCTCATCTAACACTGTTGGGGTTTCACAGATACATTTCTCAGGTCTGGGCTAACTGTGGACTAGAACATGAGCCAAGAACATGACTTCTTTCTCCTGAGATTGAAGTTATTGACTAGCATATCTCCTCCGTGTATTCTTTCATACTGCAAACATGATGTGAATCACAGCTGGGGAGGAATGTGAATAGATTCCTGGTTACTGAGTCAGTGCTACCAAAGCTGAGCCTTTTGTACTGAGCAGGATCTTCAAGAAGAGCCTCACTCAATCTGGTCCTCACCTGGTGTATCAGATCTTTGCTCCCTCCACTTCTATCAGGTGATGGTGGAAATGATAGACTGGACAGCACTGAGTTGAGGCAGACTCTTCTAGAACAGAGCCTCTAGAACAGTGGTTCTCGACCTGTTGGTCCCCAGGTGTTTCGGCCTACAAGTCTCAGAAATCCAAGTCAGTTTGCCAGCTGTCAGGATTTCTGGGAGTTGAAGGCCAAAACATCTGGGGACACACAGCTTGAGAACCACTGCTCTAGAAGGATATTTCTGTAGTTTCTTTCCATACAATGCTAATGTTCTCTTTCTTTCCCTCGTGGTTTACTCTCTACCTCAACAGCCGAAGTACAGAGTGAAATCGAGCGCATCTTTGAGCTGGCCCGCACACTCCAACTGGTAGCCTTGGATGCAGACACCATCAATCATCCAGCTCAACTTTCCAAGACCTCATTAGCACCAATTATTGTATATATTAAGATATCTTCCCCTAAGGTGGGTAAACTCTTCCTTTCACTCTGCTATGCCTGAGATGATGCTAACAAAGAGTCTTCTGGAATTAAAAACTAACATTTTTACCTGGTATTAGTTTTCTTGAGGAATGAAATGTTATGTATTTACCTTAAAGGTTGCGCCAACATTCTTTGTTGATTTTGTTGCAAATCATGGATGCAACACCCTTCCTGGAAACTGATCACATTAGCAATACTGCAAAGCTTGTCTGCCATTCTTGCAGAATCCCTTCCCCCGTCTCCCACTGTCTGGAATGCATTCTGACATTAGAGTGTCATTTATGAAACCACTAGGATGTTAAGATCATCTGGGGAGGCCCTGCTCTCGGTCCTGCCTGCATCACAAGTACGTATGGTGGGAACGAGAGACAGGGCCTTCTCAGTGGTGGCCCCTCTGCTGTGGAATGTCCTTCCTACAGATATTAGATCAGCACCATCTTTGTTAGCATTTCAGAGGAAAGCGAAGTCCTGGTTATTCGAGCAGACATTTGAATAGGCAGTGTAATGAATATAGGAATATGGAACAATTGGATGATGAAACTGGATCCTGATTCTAATTATGAGACGCTAACGAGATGTTTATTGGTGTATAATTGTTTGTTTAATATGCTACTGTTTTAATTGTTTTTAACTATTTTATCTTGTTCTGAGCATTGAATTTTGCTATTATTGACCACTTTGAGTCCCTTGAGAATTGAGAAAAGTGGTATACAAATATAGTAAATATATAAATGGATTCAGAAATAAACCCTCTTGTGTACAGGGGGATGTACTCCTAAGCAAGTCTGCATGTCGTGGTATCCTTAGACAATTTCTTGCTAATTGTGCCGAAGAAGGATGCAGAACTGGAAGCAATCATTCCTTGGAGCAGTACATTCCCAATTTCCTCTGTTCCTGGATCCATCCTATCCTTTTGGATCTTGACACCTTTTCCCCACTTTTTTTTTACCTAACAGGTGCTTCAAAGACTGGTGAAATCTCGAGGCAAATCCCAGGCCAAGCATTTGAATGTGCAGATGGTGGCATCCGACAAATTGGCGCAGTGCCCTCCAGTGAGTCCTCCCATTTGATACCATCTTTATCATGCCTAGAAGTACCTCTTCCACTTCTCTCTGCTTCCACCCTGGCACCTGATCCCAGAGATTCAGTTTTGCCTCTTGGGACATCTCTTTTCACTGTCCAATTCCCACACTTCCCACTCACTCCTCCTCTATCAAGCATGGTGCCATCCTGATTGCATTCAGCTTAGTTATTTATTATTTATTATTATTTACTGTATTTGCATACCGCCTTTCTCAGCCAATCGGCGACTCAAGGCGGTTTCCAACAAAACAGTACACATAATATCATAAAACAAGTTAAAACTTTAAAACAGTAATAAACAACAACAATAATAATATTTGTTCTGGTCAGATTCCCTCACCAGACTGGCTCTCTAGAACATCCTTCTTTCAGACCTTTCATTCTGCCATCTGTTTCAGACTACAACAGTAGTCTCTCTGCCTTGACTTAAGAAGCAGGTCTAGTGGATCAGAAATTATGTCCTTCAGTGTTTGGTATGGCATCTGGTTAATGTCTTCAAGAGATACTAAGCAATAATCATGCCAGTCTACTCGATCTGTCCTTGGTCCTGACCAAACATCTTTTCTTATCTCCGTTCATGGTATCCTGACCCCATTCTTTCCTTCCTTGTGGAGCAATTGTTCTCAACCTGTGAGTCCCCAGATGTTTTGGCCTTCAACTCCCAGAAATCCTAACAGCTGGTAAAATGGCTGGGACTTCTGGGAGTTGTGGGCCAAAACACCTGGGGACCCACAAGTTGAGAACCACTGTTCTGGATACTATGCCTTTCCCATTCTTCTCTCTCTCTCTCTCTCTCTCTCTCTCTCTCTCTGCAGGAGATGTTTGATATAATTCTGGATGAAAACCAGTTAGAAGATGCCTGTGAGCACCTGGCTGAGTACCTAGAAGCCTACTGGAAAGCCACGCATCCTCCTAGCAGCAACCCACCCAATCCCCTGTTGACCCGTACCATGGCAACTGCCGCCCTGGCTTCCAGCCCTGCCCCAGTCTCCAACCTTCAGGTACAGGTGCTGACCTCCCTCAAGCGCAACCTGGGCTTCTGGGGTGGGAGGGGCAGCCTGGACCAGGGGCTGAGCGGAGCCATCCGGGTGGAGGAGCATGAGTTGTAGAGTTTGGAAGAACCTGAGATATTTCTCCAGAAAGAAGAGACAAGCTCAAGGGAGCCACGTGTCTTCCACTACACCCACAAAGGACTTGTTGGTGTTGATTTTCAATCAAATCAATCTCTCTATACCTCTTCCTTTCTCTTTACACGTCTTGGACAAGCTGCTCTGCTAAAGAATCCTTCTACCACCATCTCCTTCCCTGAACACATCATTTCTCTCCCTATAGCCCTTCACTTTCAAGATGTGTTTTCCAGGACATTAGTGAAACACCCAAGCTATGAATGGTATCTCCATATAGTAGTAATTTGGCAGCTTAATTCAGACCTAAAATGGCACCAAAACTTGTGGAGCTATGCAGGAATTTTACAGTGACCTGTAAGTGTGTGTATATGAAATGCAGGGATGTGTTTCCAACAAGGGCTAATTCATCATGTTGCAGAGATTACAATGGATGGTCAGTTTGCTCCTGACTTAGTACCTTTCCGCACACTTACCCAATACTTTAGGCAATTTTAACTTCCAGAATCCCCAACCACTTTAGCCAGCTGCCATGCTGGCTGGTGGATTCTGAGAGTTGTAGTTTAAAAACTGCCTTTCCAAAGCTTTGCATTTACCACATCTTTTTTTCTATCCCAATCATACAGGAAATGGATCTAGAGAACTCTTTCCCCTCCTACCCTTTACCAAACAGTAACTTTCTCACAAAAAGGTAGAAACTTAGTAGATCTAGGCTATCCAAAACAATCTGGAAGGGCTTTGTTGTCATTTGTCAACATTTATTTATTTTATTATTTTATTTCAAACATTTTTGCCCCACCCTTCTCAACCCCTGGGGAACTCAGGGCGGCTTACAATTGGCAACAATTCAATGCCGCTTCATAAAATACAAATATCAAATATAACAATTAAAAACATGAATATTAAAATAAAAATTAAACAGTATACTTACGATCCATTTAGGTATTGCCAGTCTGGTGGCTATTTATCTAGCCATAGACTAATGATTACTCCACTTCACTTATCCAGTTCCACTGCCAAATATTATCCATTGTCCTTTAACCTGATTGCTCGAAGGCCTGGTCCCACAACCATGATTTTACCTTCTTTTTGAAGGTGAGGAGGGATGACGATGATCTAATTTCCCCGGGAAGTGAATTCCGTAGGTGGGGGGCTACCACCGAGAAGGCCCTGTCCCTCGTACCCGCTAAACATGTTTGAGACAAAGGTGGGGCTGAGAGCAGGGCCTCCCCAGAGGATCTTAAGCTCCGAGGTGGGACGTAGGAGATACGTTCGGACAGGTACACTGGACTGGATTGTGATTGCAGTAGACCTGTTAATTGTTGCCCATATCAAAAATATTATTTAATTTCTCAGTTTAAAAGTCAAATGTCCTTTGCCTTTTTTGCTTTTAAAAAATCTATCTTTACTAATGCACCTCCACTGCAACTCTGACACTGGCCTTATTGCCATGCCACAATGAACCGAGGCATAAGATACATCCATTTCATCTCCTCATTGAGCCAAGAAAAGCAGACATATATTTATTATTGCAAAATCTATTTGTTTAAGGCTCAATTGTTCCTGCCACAAATTCAAACATGGATTTAGACATGTGTCCAATATATATTTGAGTGTGTGACAGAAAGAGCAACTTATGTCTGAAGCCTTTCTCTAATGCCGATTTTCTCAAGTAACTGTTATACCTTCACACATGGTTTCTAGTACTGGTGTGCTTAAAATAGTAAACCTGTCATAGCCATGGATGCACAAACAGCATCATGTTGGAACCAGCCTAGGACTGAGTTGGTCCAGTTTGAACTGATCAGCACAGGTGGGCCATATACATTCTGTGTGATGCTAACTTTATGTTCTGATGCCTAACTAATGGCTTCTCAGTCTAGGTCAGTGGTTCTCAACCTGTGGGTCCCAGGTGTTTTGGCCTACAACTCCCAGAAATCCCAGCCAGTTTACCAGCTGTTAGAATTTCTGGGAGTTGAAGGCCAAAACATCTGGGGACTCACAGGTTGAGAACCACTGGTCTAGCTTAATGTGATGCAGTCTTAATTTATCCATTCATTTTCTCTGCATGTGTGTCCTAACTCTGCAAGGAACTGCATGCCCAGATTATGTGTGTTAGGAGGGCTATGTGGAGAACATTAGGAATTAGCTTCAGATGTGAGTTACTACCTCTGAAGCCTTCTTATGCTGCATAACTCTTGACTAAGGTTAATGGGAGTTGAATTGACTAAGGCTAATGGGAGGTGAACTACAACTCCAAAACTCAAAGTCAAAGCCCACCAAATTCTTCAAGTATTTTCTATTGGTCATGGGAGTTCTGTATGCCAAGTTTGGTTCAATTCCATCGTTGGTGGAGTTCAGAATGCTCTTTGATTGTAGGTGACCTATAAATCCCAGCAACTGCAACTCCCAAATGACAAAATCAATCCCCAACCCCATCAGTATTCAAATTTGGGTGTATGGGGCATTTGTGCCAAATTTGGTCCAATGAATGAAAATACAATATAATATTTGATATTATTACGATTCATAACAGTAGCAACATTACAGTTATGAAGTAGCAACAAACATAATTTTATGGTTGGGTGTCACCAGAACATGAGGAACTGTATTAAGGGACCACGGCATTAGGAAGGTTGGAAAACACTGATCTAAACTGTCTCAGGGGATCAGTGCCCCATTCCCCCATCCAAACATTAAAAAAGACAAGAAGTGGTGCCACAGCAGAGTGAATAGAAGGGTTCTTGCCTTTTGTCATGCTACTCGATAATGGGAATGGTTCCTTTTTTGATAGGAGACAAGGTACAATACTCACATTGACCCATGAATAAGTCAACCTTTTATTACGTTGTTTGACTAAGATTTCTAGACTTACATACGCATATATAGAGTAGTTGTTATTTATTCACTGGAAAGCTTCTTTGGCTTTTCCAAGTGCCTGGTTTTTACATGCTTATTTCTCAGGAAAAGAAAGATTAAACACTGTTAAAGGAGAAAAGGGAAATTGGACAGGTATTCTAATAAACCTAGAGAGGTTCACCAGACTAGGGTGTGATAACCTTGCATTCTAATGTGTTTTTGGCCATTGCTGCTGCTGCTATGTTGTGGACATGCTAACTCTTGCCTTCTCTTTCTCTCCTTTTCTTGTGCATGGTGTGTGGTGACTGCATCTTCCAATCAGAGACCCTACTTAGTGCATGGGGAGGAGGCTCATGACCCTGAGCATGCCGGCCTGCACGAGTACGCAGGGCAGCCAGATGTGCGAGGCCAGATTCGCTCCATGCAGCCTCCCTCACACTTTGCTGCCCGGAGCCTTTCCCGCCAGGACACCTTTGATACGGAGACGCAGGGCAGCCGTGATTCTGCCTACATCGACCCGGCGGATTCTTGCATGGACATCGAGACTGACCCCTATGAGGAACCGGAGCCTCGTTGCCCTCAGCAAGGAGTGGGCCATCGCCACCCTCAGCGCCAGGGCTCCTGGGAGGCAGAGGAGCCTGATTCCCATCGTACGCAGTACCGGGGCCACCGTCACCCCCAGAGCTCCTGGGAAGCTGAGGAGCCTGACCGACAAAACCACAACCGGCCTCTGCGTGGGCGCGGCAAGGGGAGGGCCCGCTATTGCCAGGATGAGGAGGAAGCCCTGGGTCGTAACCATAATGACATGGAGGACTGGGGAAGGGATGCCTACATCCGTTGAGCGCCTTCAGAGGCATGGCTTTCATACACTGAGGAAGAGGCCTCTTCCCATTTAGAGCCTCCTGGGGACCAAAGCTGTTTTTTGGTTGTATGGCACCAGGGGATTAGACGTAATCTGCAACAGCCTTGACCAAGTGGTGGGAGTGGGTAGGTAGCATTCCCTAAACCACACTAGCACTGGCCAGATCTGTGAGTGAACTCCCTTCCTCACCCTTCTAGTTTAGGGACTCCCCATCCCTTTGCCTTGCCCTTTGTGCCAGCAACTTCTCTGAACATCCGAGTCCTACCAGCCAGTACTGCCTGGGCTTTCCCCCCACGAGATCATAAATAATCACATGTACCTTAAATTCCTCTTTCTACTTGGGGGCTCCCTGTGGGGCCTGGAGAGGAAGAGGGCTGGTCTCCATCGGTGCCTCGGATCACCTATACACTCGGGTAACAGCTGCGGTGGACAGCCGGCCATGTGCCACCCCTCCTGTCTTGCCTACCTGCCACCTCTAAGGCCAAACAGCTCCCAGATTAATATGCCCTCCTCCCTTCGGCAAAAGTCAGCTATCCATTGATCTCTTCCTTTGCCTGCTTTGCGGTGCTTTACCAGCCCTACTGGTAGGGGGCAGTAAGCAGACATCTGGGCAGGGAGGCGAAAGCCAACTCCCAGTTTGCTGTCGCGAGATTCTCCAGTGCCTACAAGCAAAAACCAGCCCCAACCACCTTAAAGTCTTCAGCCTACCCATCCTCTAGTGCCTCAGCTCATGACCCTTCTGGATGTCTTTTATTTGCTGGGCAAATCCTGGGCATAAAAAGTGTGTGGCTGGCATGTGCCATGCCTGGCAGACAAGGAAGTCTTTGGAGTGTGTTTCTTGCAAATGTGCCTGTAACTTGCTGTTTTGCTCTTAATACCAGTTTTGAAATCTTCTTTCTGGCATGTGTGATAGCTTGGCCTGTGGTGCTTGGCAGAGGAAAAGGAAATAGGCATGCCAACCATCAGACAAAAAAAAATGCCCTCCTGCAAAAGATTCCTTCTCTCGAAGTAGGAAGCTTGATTATCAGCTTGGGTATAACTAGTTACAAACAATTAGTTGATTGTAATTACTTCCTTTCTCAGATACCTAAGGTGTAGTTAAATTGCATTATAATTGTAACTTAGCAAGGGATAATGTCACTCCTTTGTGATGTAAATGTAACTTAATTTCTCTTATGGTTGCATAATGTAGCCACAGTAAATGATGGAGGAGAAATATCACATGGCTAAAGTGCTGTGCCTTGTGCATTCAGCTGTTGTTTTCCTAAATGCAGTAACGTAAGTAACTAGTTACTTTTGAGACATGGCATATATCTCCTCTGGAGGTTTCTAAACAGAGGCTGAATGGCCATCTATCAGGAATGGTTTAATATGTGTATGTCTGCTTGGCAGGGAGTTTGACTAGGTGACCCTTGTGGTATCTTCCAATTCTGTATAGTTACTCTTCAGAATTGTAACTATCATGGCAACTGATTTGACAGGGGCTTTTCAGTACTATAACTTCAATGTCGTTTGAAAAGTAACTTTCCAAGCTTTGCCTCTGCCTTTCCAAGGATTTCCCTTTTTCAGTAATCCTTGGGAAAGGACATCATCGTTCTCTGATGAAATAAGTAGATGAAGAGGTGTTGAAGTGAGCCCTGTAGCAACTGCTGACATACAGCCACAAATACAATATTTTTTGTGGAGTGAAACATAAGGTGAAATGCATTGGTTGGGTAGTGCAGATAGTAACAGGAATCCTTCACTGACTTGTCAATGTTCTCTCCTCCTGGGCAGACTATGGATCTACTCGGGGTCCTTCCACACAGGTGAATACAATCCCAAAGGATCTCCTTTGAACTGAAAGATATGGCAGTGTGGACCCAGATAACCCAGTTCAAAGCAGATATTGTGCAATTTTCTGCCTTGATATTCTGGGTTATATGGCTGTGTGGAAGGACCCTGGATCTGCATCCGTTTGAGCAATTTGAACCTGGGCCATTTTGACACTCTCTAAACTATGGTGGCAAAGCAGTAACCATTTGCTTCCCAAATGTCAGCAGTAACACTGGCAGATCCTGCCTTATCTAGACCCACCTTTTGGGCTCAATACCTGTGCCAAAATCTTGCCCTTTAGTCCAAAGACTCCTGTTCAAAGTGTTGCCTGTTGAAATAGGTCACTGTTTCTTGCAAATACCACAACTTCTGACCATCACACAGTTCTGGTAGTTGACTCCTCATATCCATCCCATCATTTAAATTGTATGCTGTGAAGGTTTAAGTGACACATTATCTGTGTCACCTAAGCATCATGATCAATTGAATCAACTGAACTCCATCTTCTGTGCCCATCCATCCTCTGCAGTAATTTATAGCTCATGTGTTGGGGCACTCAGCTTGAATGTAAAATTCTTGAAGATCATAAGGAGACATGGCCTTAGATCAGATCATCAGCTCTTAGGGCAGTGTTTCTCAACCTGGGGGTCTCAAGGGGGTATCAGAGGGGTCACCAAAGACCATCAGAAAACACAGTATTTTCTGTTGGTCATGGGAGTTCTGTGTGGGAAGTTTGGCCCAATTCTGTCATTGGTGGAGTTCAGAAGGCTCTTTGATTGTAGGTGAACTATAAATCCCAGCAACTACAACTCCCAAATGTCAAGGTCTATTTTCCACAAACTCCACCAGTGTTCACATTTGGGTATATTGAGTATTTGTGCCAAGTTTGGTCCAGATCCATCATTGTTTGAGTCCACAGTGCTCATTGAGTGTAGTAAACTACAACTCCAAAACTCAAGATCAGTGCCCACCAAATCCTTCCAGTATTTTCTATTGGTCATGGGAGTTCTGTGTGGCCAAGTCTGGTTCAATTCCATTGGTGGTAAAATTCAGAGTACTCTTTGATTGTAGGTAAACTATAAATCCCAGCGACTACAACTCCCAAATGACAAAATCACTCCCCTCCAACCCCACCAGTACTCACATGTGGGCATATTGGGTATTTGTGCCAAATTTGGTCCAGTAAATGAAAATACATCCTGCATGTCAGAGATTTACATAATGATTAATAAAAGTAGCAAAATTACAATTATGAAGTAACAACAAAAATAAATTTATGGCTGGGGGTCACCACAACATGAGGAACTGTATTAAAGGGTTGTGGCATTAGGAAGGTTGAGAAACACTGTCTTAGGGTTGAATCTCTTGTTGGACAATGTTGTAGAGAGCTTGGTCTATTCAGCTGTGGGTAGGGAAATGTATGCTGACATGACATGTGATCCAATCTGCTTACACATTTTGGAATGGCAATATAAACAACTAAGATAAAGTAAGACTACTTTGCAATAACCTTGGGTTGGTAACTGGACATGTAGCTTTCAGCTTATGGAGATGTCAAATCCTCCATTTATTGAAAATGACTGATGTGTGATGCATGATGCTCTTTCAGTTGGGAGAGTGAGGGGGTTGACATATTTTTAGCACTTTTCAGTTTTAAGCAATTCTACCCTTGCTCTCTCAAAAAAAAATCCCAATGAAATATCGGAATTTTCTGTAGGAATAAGAATAATAATATTTTTTTATTTCTTACCCGTCTCTCCTCACAGCTCAAGGCAGGTGTGCTAAAACACACACTCACCTAAAAACATTCTTTAAAACACACATATTAAAATGTATCGCCACATGCTTTTGGAAACCTTAAGTCAGGGGTCCTCAAACCTTTTTAAACAGAGGGCCAGGTCACAGTCCCTCAAACTGTTGGAGGGCCGGATTATAATTTGAAAAATAACATGAATGAATTCCTATGCACACTGCACATATCTTATTTGTAGTGCAAAAACACTTTAAAACAATACAATAATTAAAATGAAGAACAATTTTAACAAGTATAAACTTATTAGTATTTCAATGAGAGGTGTGGGTCTGCTTTTGGCTGATGAGATAGGATTGTTGTTGTTGTTGTGTGCTTTCAAGTCGTTTCAGACGTAGGTTGACCCTGAGTGAGGGCCAGATAAATGACCTTGGAGGGCCGTATCCGGTCCCCGGGCCCTAGTTTGAGGACCCCTGCCTTAAGTATTCTTTCCTCCCTCTAATTTCCTAGGATTGCCTAGCATCCCTTATTTTAAGCTGCTGCCTTGCACATCCACGGCACTTTAATGGACACCCTATATCTAATATTGCCACTATTCTGGTTTGTTTTTTTTGTGTTGGTCTGAAAACTAGCAATTCCTTCACTGTTTGATTACAGTCTAATCTAATGAGATATCATGAACTTGGAGACAGGAGCAAAACATCTGTGTCTCTCGGGTGCACATGAATTTTAAGCCACCTCCCCTCCCCTCCTGCCACTTCTTCAGGATATTCATGAAGGACAATAATAGATTTGGTTACTTTAAGTACATTTGTGACCGATTTCTGCTGCTTAGGGCTTCTCTGAAGAAAAAGATGTGCAAATCCATGTCCTCTGCAACAGATGAATCATTATTGCTAGCCAAGCATCTAGGAGAGGGTCATACCATACCAGCAGGTTGGGAAAAAATGCAAATGTAATTTTAAACAATGCAGAAACTGTATCCGACTATCCGTACTTCAACCAGTTCTTTTAAAAGAATGCATTTTATTTCATTAATTCTCAGCATTGTTTTTTGATTGGGATTCCCAACCAAACCTCGTTTCTTTGTAGTGAATGGTTTCCCTTAAACCCTTACAATGAATTAATCTTCAACAAGTGGGGAAGGGAGGAGCCATTGAAAGGATGAGCTTTTCGGGTAATGGAGCATTATCCCCTGCATTCTATTTGCACCTTTTGGATTTCTTTTCCTCTTTGGGTTGTTTTGTTGTTTTCATTTGGGATGGGTTGGGGGAAGGAAGAAGATTATGGAGAACAAAAAATAAATTCTGCCAAGTCTCTGCCTCATTGTTAAACATTTTTGATTCTTCAGTGCTCCCAAACCCATTGCCATGGGAATAAAAAGTATTTTATAAAACGCCATTTTGAAATATCTGTTGCGTAAGGTAAGAAACAGTAAAAGGGAAGGCAAAGTAACAACCTGAAGACCAAGATAATAATAATAATAACATTATTTTTATACCCCGCCAACCATCTCCCCTAGGGAACTCGGGGTGGCATACAAGGGACACGCCCAAGATTACAATTAAAACACACATGTAGAATCATAGAATCAAAGAGTTGGAAGAGACCTCATGGGCCATCCAGTCCAACCCCCTGCCAAGAAGCAGGAATATTGCATTCAAATCACCCCTGACAGATGGCCATCCAGCCTCTGTTTAAAAGCTTCCAAAGAAGGAGCTTCCACCACACTCCGGGGCAGAGAGTTCCACTGCTGAACGGCTCTCACAGTCAGGAAGTTCTTCCTCATGTTCAGATGGAATCTCCTCTCTTGTAGTTTGAAGCCATTGTTCCACGTCCTAGTCTCCAGGGAAGCAGAAAACACTTTAACCAATTAAAGTGTAAAGTGTAAAACACTTTAACCAATTAAAACATCAGATAAAAACAAATGACAGCACAATTGAAAGCAATATAAAAACAATATGGCTGAAAGAAACGTAGCTGAGGTATAGATTCAATGAGTGCAATACATTTTTACAGGAGAGCAGGAAAGTGCAACAATACAGTAAACTGAGCAGTAAATACTGTCATAACACATGTTGAGGTAGAGGTATGCCAGTGTAAAGTGCAGGCCGGTGTAAAGTGCGGAACTTCAAGTAAGGACAATAAAGTTACTGGTGAGCTGCTTAGTCAAAAGCGTACCGGAACATCCAGGTTTTTAGCTGACTATGAAAGAAGGACAAGGTGGGAGCCTGTCTGATCTCCCTAGGGAGGGAGTCCCAGAGCCGGGGGGCCACCACCGAGAAGGCTCTTTCCCTCGTCCCCATCAACCATGCATGTGACGGCGGGG